CTGTTTATGTGCGCAGCAGAGATGAGAGTAATGTTTTGCTATCATGTCTGTATATGTGCATCACGTTTAAAAATGAAGCAAATTTCTCTGTAAATCATAGAATAATGGTGCTTTCAATGAACAAATTGACGTTATTACTCTCCAATGGTTGTGCAAAGACATAGCAAATGCTGTCAGCAATACTTTAAGTACCATTGTAATGTTACAAGAGAAGTCGATGGGGACATTGGGGTTTTCATGCTCAACTTTTTTCCGTAAAAATACTTATTCCATTGTGGTTTGCACGTAATCAGTGAATGTGAATTACATGTCCACTTGAATTGTATTTTTCAGTGAAAATAAATTGCAGCTAAAAGAAAGTCAGTGTGGTTGGCAGTTTAATAACATGTTCACTTGTGTTTGCAGGCTCGTAAACAATTTGATGATTTGCCAGAGACTGTTGTTAATAAAAGTCAAGATGCACTGACTGGTAAGATAGATTCTGCTTTTAACTGATGGCATGCGCACAGACATATACACCAAGGGAAATCATATACAGTTTCATCTTCTATGTACCGTGAGTGTAGGTCATAAAATGATTCCCTAAAGAATGATTATATCTGAAGAATTTAGTGATAATTCCTGTACTGGATAATGGTTTATATATTGCCATGCTAGTCCAAGCACAGTATTTATCCTTATTCTATTGTAATATTGTTATTGGGAAGATAGAGGTCCAAACATAAGGGGTTATTAATTCAGATCGCTTTCAAATGAAGTTTAAAACAGAGACTTATAATTCAGTCTCCGTTCATCCGTCTGGCCGTCCGTTTGAAGTCATATTTCAGAACCATGTGGACAAAATCTGATTTATTGCATGTGCCTAGTACTTTATCTGGGACATATACATGCAGTGGTTTACTGATTCAGTCCAAGATGGCTGACTGGAAGCCATTTTGTTTTTTGAAAATGTGGTATCTTATGCATACTTTGTCAGTTTTTGGTACATACATTGTAAATTTTAGATTATATATCCATGACAATTTCCTTCACATTCAGATCAAAGAGCCATCTTGCTTTTTGAACATACTACTATACCTCAAAGGCTTGGGGACCATTTTCATTTATATTTGGCACATGCATAATACATATAGGAATATGTGTTTATGTCTGTTTGTTCCATAATCAGATCAAAGATGCTGACTGACATCCATCTTGTTTTTTTGAAAATGTGGTATCAACTTTAATCAAACATTATACATGTTGAGATACATGTCCATCATGATTTGTTTTGTGTTTCATATCTCTGTACATGAGCCTGGAGAAAATGAAATTCAGTTTGGATAAAAAAAATTGCATGAATACTATATCTATGCTGTTGGTGAATATTACTTATATAATTTTGAAATGCCTTTATAAATTGAATTCTACAGAATTAAATAGAATTATATGCATCTCTACTGAAATTCTATAGAACATTATTGTAAGGGTGTTTTTGGCACTAAAATTATTGACAAGAACAAGCTGTGGGCCAGCTGCAGTAATTTGGCTTGATAGCAAATACTGACACTGTGGGCCAGCTGCAGTAATTTGGCTTGATAGCAAATACTGACTCCTGTGGGCCAGCTGCAGTAATTTGGCTTGATAGCAAATACTGACTACTGTGGGCCAGCTGCAGTAATTTGGCTTGATAGCAAATACTGACTCCTGTGGGCCAGCTGCAGTAATTTGGCTTGATAGCAAATACTGACGACTGTGGGCCAGCTGCAGTAATTTGGCTTGAGAGCAAATAATTTGGCTTGAGAGCAAATACTGACTACTGTGGGCCAGCTGCAGTAATTTGGCTTGAGAGCAAATACCAACCACTGTGGGCCAGCTGCAGTAATTTGGTTTGATAGCAAATACTGACTACTGTGGGCCAGCTGCAGTAATTTGGCTTGATAGCAAATACTGACTACTGTGGGCCAGCTGCAGTAATTTGGCTTGATAGCAAATACCAACCACTGTGGGCCAGCTGCAGTAATTTGGCTTGAGAGCAAATACTGACTACTGTGGGTCAGCTGCAGTAATTTGGCTTGAGAGCAAATACCAACCACTGTGGGCCAGCTGCAGTAATTTGGCTTGATAGCAAATACTGACTACTGTGGGCCAGCTGCAGTAATTTGGCTTGATAGCAAATACTGACTACTGTGGGCCAGCTGCAGTAATTTGGCTTGATAGCAAATACTGACTACTGTGGGCCAGCTGCAGTAATTTGGCTTGATAGCAAATACTGACTACTGTGGGCCAGCTGCAGTAATTTGGCTTGATAGCAAATACCAACCACTGTGGGCCAGCTGCAGTAATTTGGCTTGAGAGCAAATACCAACCACTGTGGGCCAGCTGCAGTAATTTGGCTTGAGAGCAAATACCAACCACTGTGGGCCAGCTGCAGTAATTTGGCTTGATAGCAAATACCAACCACTGTGGGCCAGCTGCAGTAATTTGGCTTGATAGCAAATACCAACCACTGTGGGCCAGCTGCAGTAATTTGGCTTGATAGCAAATACTGACTACTGTGGGCCAGCTGCAGTAATTTGGCTTGATAGCAAATACTGACGACTGTGGGCCAGCTGCAGTAATTTGGCTTGGGAGCAAATACCAACCACTGTGGGCCAGCTGCAGTAATTTGGCTTGATAGCAAATACCAACCACTGTGGGCCAGCTGCAGTAATTTGGCTTGATAGCAAATACCAACCACTGTGGGCCAGCTGCAGTAATTTGCAGTAAAAAGACTACTGTGCAATATAATAATGTGCACCGTAGAAAGCCTAAGTCATATTTAATTTCTAGATGTTAAGACAATGCTAGCAGATTTTGAAGTACAAATTAAAGACATAGCTGCTTCCATAGAGCAACCTATGAATCAGGTGAGTAAACCAGTGTCAGCCAGCCAATCTTTGTATGTGTCAATTTTTTCACATTTTCGATTTCAATTATGGATGAAGTGAAGTTAATAGAATTTGATGCTGTTATCGATTATTGATCTGGAAACTGGATAAATTATATTCAAACTTGGTACATTGAATAGTACCTTGCATGTCATTTTTGGTTTGCCCATAGTAGTGGCAAAATGTCTGTCATCCGTCGTTGTGGTCGTAAACTTTTTTTGTGGGTGCTATTACTCAAATACTATTCAGTTGATCGCTATCACACTAGTTGTATGTGTGTAGACTACCGGTAATTAAACTACCTAAGTGTGACCTAAATGTTGGCTTATTGTTGAATTAATTAATTTATTTTGTATGTTAGGTACAAGATCAAATGAGGATTGATGATCAGCTTGGCAATGTTTTCTATTATGCTGAGCAGTACAGCAAATATCTGTGAGTATTACTCTTTTTTCCAAACGCAGACCACTTTGTATTGATCAGTTTCAGTCAGCATACTGGTTAGAGTTTCCTTTTAAGATAACTACAAGTTACTCGCCAAATAAGTTATTGATTTGACACACTTAACTTTTAGAAAGTAGACAAGTATATCGCTAGATCAAAAATTAAATTTACAATGATTCATCAAGTTTCCTAATGGGCATGGAAATGCGTAATATAAAAACGAATTATTCTTGAAACTGCATCGGACACTTATTTTTGAAAAAAAATTCAGATCTTGAGGGGAAAAAGAGTAATCATCAGACATGTAAGATTCTTTTAAACATATCTCTACAATATATTATTGTCTTCTTAAAGACTTACTCCCATTAATATGGGCTCACATTTTTATGAAAATTTAAACAATATTTGTGATAATGTAGGTTGTACTGTCACGATTTATTATATGTTTTAAAAATTAAATAGTTTGTGACTGTAGACAAATAATATGTAATATGATTACATGTTGGCACGTCACATGTTCTTTGTAAACCACATATCTATACATATATAAACTTCATTGAATGTGACAAGTAATTTAAACAATCTTTTTTCTCTGATCAGTGATTGCTATACTGTATTTTTTTTTGTATTTTTTCACTGGTTTTTAATTTTTCTATTTTTGCCAATAAGTAAAATCCGCTAAATTAAATCCATGTGAACATGTAAAATAACAGTGGAACTTATAGCTTTTCTGCCAAGTTTATGAACTTGAAAACTTAGTGAAGTTGCTCAAAGCATCAAAATAGTGAAATTAAATGCTAATCCAATGAAAATGATTTTACACTAGTATATTAGAAACATGTATTAATACTACTGTAAAATCTGTATTAGAAGCTGCTACTTCTATCAAAATGGTACACTGTAACAGAAGGATGCGGCTTCTATTAGAACATCTACACAGATGAGAAATGGTGAATTTTTGGGTCTCAATTGTTCAAAAAGAATGGGTGTGGCTTCTAATACAGATTTTACGTATTACAGATTTAATTCCTGAAATACATTAAAATATTTGTAACTTTAATCTATGGATTGAGACCATTATTCATCTACTTTTATTGATTGTGTCAATTTATAATTAATAGAAATTAAATAACTAGAATCCTGACAGACGCCCATAGGCATGAATAATGCTTTGTAAGCCAAGTCCCTGCAACACCATTAACTTAATGTAATTTACTTAATGATTCTCAGCAGCATCACTGCCAGACCGATCACTTTATCATTTAAGCTTACTTAATATTATATTAATTAATATTTAATATCATGACACTTATTCTATTTATTGAGCGTTTGCATGCAAAAAACCTCAAAAAAACACAAATAAATGGTTCAGCCAAAACAACACAGAAAATCAAGCTGTATAATCAATGACAAGAAGAGATACAACATAATCAGACAATTCATATCTATGGACATTTTTTATGATAAATATTAGTAATATTAATAATAATAAATGATTGTTTTGTTTTATTCTTAATAGTTGGTACATTGGTACGTGTTTAATGGGGTTTGTGTTACTGATTGTGACATTTTACTTTATGGGACTGTTATGTGGTGTGTGTGGTCATGAAAAAGATGAGGCACCCACTGAAAGAGGATGTATGTCAAATTGTGGAGGAACAATGTTGATGGGGTAAGTCACTCAGCTGATGTTATGTGTGCATTTCAAATTGATAGTGCTCAGTGCTAATGTCTAGATGAAATATAATTTAGACAGCACTTGGAGAGGTCAACCTAGCTGCACCAGACTTCTTCAGTTTCTATATCAACACTCCATAATTTAGGCATAGTTATGACCAGAAATGTGTTTGGTGACATTGACCTTTGAACTTGATCTAACCAGGTTTTGTGGCTCATATAATGTAACACATATAAAGTATGAAAAAAAGTAGTTTTTTTTTTCCCCTTGAATTCTTATTGTAAACATACATACTCACATTGTGACCTTAACCTTTGACCTTTTGTCCCCAAAAATCTTACCAAGTCGCATGGGGGAGCATATGTGCCAGGTTTGAAAGTTCTGGCTATTTTTTCTTATAGTTATGTTTCAAAAAAATACATATACACATACTTACAACTGAGTGCACTACACAGATAACTGTCACATTCATGTCTAATTTAGTGATTTTAGTTGGCCTTTCAACACTTAAGTGTGAAAAAGAGTGAAGAGTTAATTAATTGGGACACTATCAATTATTTGTACATTCATTTAAAATATAGTAGACCCAAATCCCAATGCTTGAGTAACTTGTTTTCTTCACAGTGGTGTGGTATTTTGTTTCATCTTTGCACCTTTATTGATGCTTCTGACCACTATATCATTCCTACTTGGTGGCAATCTGCAAGAACTTTTATGTGAACCTCTTGAATCACAGGATCTAGTAGACAGGGTAAGTGTTATGAATAGCCAGTAAAAATATGTATTGGCTAAACAATCAAAAAACTGTTGTCACTGTTGACACAATTTCAAAGGACATTAATCTGACAAGTTTCCGTCTTTCTTAGAATTGTGATGTTCTCTTTCATTTCATGTGATGGTTAAATTAGAAACACTGAGATATAATAAATGCATAGTATTTCCAGCCAGATTTGTTGTGCAGATTTTTGCACTATTTTATTTTTTTTTCAAAAAATTTTGAAACAATTTCATATTTTCATGTTATGAATGATAAAAAAAATTCAGTTTTGTGCTCAAAGGGTCAAAGGAAAATTGTATGGTGCAGTGATAATTTCATGTGAAAAGTTGACATCACATTTTTGTAAGAATAAACATGAAAAAAGTATTATTGAGGGGTTAATTTATTTTAAAATAGTTTTTGTAATTCCGCTTAAATTTACCAAAATCAATTAAATATATTGTTTTTATCCATTAGATTGTCGACTATCCATATATATTGGATTCCAATGCTGAATATTTTCTGGGTGCAGCAGTATTGGGAGATGGCAGCATACCATTAACAGTTAAAAGAATATTAAGGTATATGATGTTTTGCATCTTGAATTTTCAAGGTGAATGTTCCGGCGAAGCACTCCACTCTATATCACCTTGAAGTATTTCATTAGGACTATGTGTATGTGACAATGCCCTCACAGTTTAGAATCAGTTTAACAACAGCCAATCATATAACTTCTTTCTTCAACGCGCTTGGTCAAGCTATCAAAATCTTCGAGGCGGAGCTAAGTCACTAAACGCCCCACGTTGCTATTTAAGACGCGCACCACTCTACCATGTATTTCTATGCACTCTGCGCGAGCTGCTGTGCACTGGTCAAAAAATCGAGAAAACAGCACAAACTTAACTTTGAAGAAATCCAACCAAATTTAAATAGTTTGCATATGTAGGGGGTGACAACAACCATCCCAAAATACCGTTTTCTGAGAATTTATTGGTCTTTGCGGCTGTCTTTGTTTCACCGTGATGGTTGCCAGGTGGTGAAAATGCCTGACCCGAGAATAAATGTCGGTGAGCACAGCTAAATCTGTGTTGGCTTGAATGTCGAGGCGATACAGCGACAATATCCATACATCATGCAAGTCACTGATATTCAGACCAAAGCTATTCAAGCTTTACTTAATAATACTGTTGTCACCACTGTTGACTATTATAGAAGAGTAGGTGTTATACCCCAAAGCTAGTGATATCACTGCAACACATATCGGCAGTAATGAAGCCAAAAATATCAGAAATGCAGAGCTCCGAGCGCTTTCTGGCAGTCTTTGTAACAAAGCATTCTATTGGTCGGTAAACTTTCTATCGCGCAACCACGTGACATACACGATTATGAATGGTATTACCGCACGGTGTTGTAGAGGGAGGAATGTCCGAACGGAACAACACCGTGCAGGTGGACGATGGATGTTTTGTTACAAAGCCAGTTTGCAATACAAGGCAGCATGGCTATGCAACAGCGCCCTCTATATATAGCTAAATATCTATACCAGTATTTTGTTTTTATGAAGACATCACACCTTCATTTGTTTCTTTGCATGTACAGTGGTTGTCAGAATGATGGGGCTATTTATGATGTAATGATGCTTGAATACAAAGTGAATATATCAGCACTAGTTGATTACAGATCAGTAAGTAACAAATTAATATTTGAGATTTCGTAGAATTTAAGTTTGTCATGTGTGTTAAGTTATAATTTACTGTTATTTGTGTATGTATTCTGTGCTGTTCAAATGATAAATTATTTCTCAACATTTTCATTCCATTTCTTTGTTAATTATCACCATTTTTTTTCTTCTTAATTTGTAAATATTCAGTGTACTATTATATTCAATGTATTTTCAGTGATAGATTCTCTTTCATTCTTTTAAATTTCAGGAGTTTCCTGAGTTAGAGAATTTGTTAAGTGGTGTGAATGTGGATATGGCTGATGTTGTCATATTGAGTGATGATACAAGAAGTTCTTTACAAGATTTTAATAAAACTGGCATAACTGGTATTGATTTTGATGGATATCTTGATGAGGTAATGTTTTTCCTAACACATTGGCAACCATTTGTGTTATTGATGGCCTACAACTGTGTGGATGTAAATGTGGTTAAACTGAGCCATTATATTTCATTCAATCAATAACTCAGTTCTTACTATATGTACTTATGAAATAAGTAGTTTTGGTTTGCATCTAATTTGATGAAAGTCAGTCCAGCTGTTCCCACTTGTTCTGCTAATCTAGTTCAAAGCAAATTAAAGATGCAATATGGATAAAAAACATTTATTTTAGAACAAATCAGACAATGATCTATCATAAACTAATGATAGTGCATTTGCAGGACACACATATTCATTCATTGGGAAATCAGAACCACTAATACACATGTGTAGTTATTGTTATTGTAAGTATCATAACAACCAGTGTATATTCATATTGTAGAATTTCATTGTGGTATTGAATGAATGCTCTGAGGTGTGTTACAAGAAAAGTATTTTCATTTCATGATTCCATGTGTTCATCTTCATCATTATATACTGTCAATGTACTGTAAAGGGGGTAATTATTCACTGGGTTTTAATTTCGCTATGTTCGCCGATAAGTAAAATATGCCAAACTAAATCTATGTGAACATGTAAAATATCATTAACTCATTGTTTTTTTGACAAATTTGTGAAATTAGAATACAGTGAATATGATCAAAATAGTAAAATTAAATGTCAGTGAAAATAAATGGTTTTACAGTAGTATCAAATAACAAGTACTTGTCCATACTGCAACTTCAACTAATCTGTATTACGGTAACTAACACAGTTTATTGATCTAGTTTTATTTGAATCCTGTGGTTCCCACTACCTGCACTCTCTGTGCATATTGCTCATGTCCATTATTGTGACAACTTTTGGTTGTGAAAATTGTACACTAAGGTGAGGACTGTAGATAATGGATTCAAGCAAGGTGAAGAAAACATTATCAATGTTATTACTGAGTGACTAAACAAGAATTATCTTTAACAGAATTAAAAATAGTTTAAACAGTGTGTTAGACTACTAGGTTAAAACACTGCATGTGTAGGGACAGCTAACATGTTTGAATCTGGATTAAGATTACTTTTGGAAGTGAAAAAAAAAAGGTTGCTAAAAATAAATATACTGAAAACAAAACAAATAAGAACAAACATTTAAGAAAAACAATTATGCAAAAAATTCAATGCAAAAAGTATCAGTCTGACTCCATTATTTACTTGAAAGAGTAAAGTAACAGCTAGCTTTGATGCATTAATATAATTATACTTTTCTTTATTGTAACTGTTACTGTTTTGCAGATAAGAAAAGGTATAACAAAAGCTAACTTAGTAGAGATTGCTGATAATATTGATACAGCTTCTGCAGCAGTTGGTGATCCTGTAAGTGTATTTAGTTTCTTCCAGCACATATATATATGCAACAACTGTGAGATAGTATCATGGCCTACTCCTAATGTTGTGTCATGAAATCAAAACAACTTTAACTTTCAGCTTTATCACATCTATTATATTTACTCTATGATACTAACTTTCTCAAACATGGGGATCCAAAATAAACTGCTATAAATTGCTCCTGGAACATTGTATTATTTCTTGGAAGATTGTTAACGATCTTTGTCCCTGTTTTGAAAAAAAGTCAGAAATCGGAGACTATTAATTTGGGTTCTGACCGTCTGTTCTTACATCTGGAGCCATTTCTCAGACTTGCTTTGACAGATCATATTCAAACTTTAGCACAAAGATCATGTACAACGACTTACATGTATATGTTGAATTTCATTACCATTGATCAATGATGGCCAACTGGCAGTTATTTTGATCTTCAAATTTGCTAAATTCTGATACTTAACATGTCCTGAACTATTTCTCTGAGATGAACTAGGTGATATTATTCAAACTTTATATCATGATCATGCATATTGGCCTTGTGAGTTGAGCAAAAAAAGTCAATTGGCGGCCATTTTGTTTATTTATGTCTATGCCAATTCCACATGATTTCATTCAGTTTAATGTGTGCACACAAGTATGCTTCACTCATAATGTCGTAGGTTGTTTTATTTTGTTAGTTTGTCCAAATATGTTGAATTAATGGCCATTTTGTCTAAAATCTAGAAATCACAGTATGTTTTAAATGTGTCCATAACCGTTTATCAGAGATGAACAGGGTGAATTTAATTAAAATTTGTATTTGGATCATGCATGTTTATATTCATGTTTATAGTCATATTGCATTGAAATTGACACACAGATGATTATTGTAGCCCTTTGATAGACATGTACATGTGACTGAGTATTGAGATAGATCACTGGTAAAAACATGGGGACCATGCATTAAAGAAACAATAACTGTGAATTACATTTTTGTTCAAATCTAACCATATAAATATGGCCAAAATATTTTTTAGACAGAATTACATGGGCAAAGTGAGCCTACACAAGGCTATACACATAAAATGCGAAGTGAAAACTAAGGGTCTAGTAGTCATCATTTTGTTGAAATTTGTCATGTGAGAGAGACCGGAGAAAATTCACACTATTATTGGAAATGACACATACAATCATCAGTGAAAGGCCGCCAGAGAGAGGGTTAGTCTCTAAAGAGGTTGACGTATTTGAATTAGTCCAGGGCCCCTGGTAAGTTCTCATATTGTACACTAACCCCTGAGGTTCCCTCGACAAAACTGAACTGATGATGCCCTCTGTAGACCTTGACACAACCCACGGTCATCTCTTTCACTAGCAAATGCAATGCTTTCAGTGTCCACATTTCAGCAATGACCATTACAAATTAACATGTAAAATAAAGAAAAAATCGTTACAGCTATTGTTGCTTTAATTGTCAATGCTTGTTTGAAATAAAATAATTTATGGCATTCAGATCTATGCCACATTTATTCTCCATTACTCAAAATCTAATTGAAAATAGTTTTCACAGTGAAACATTACTCACAAAATCAACCGTTCATAGGTACCATCTTCAACAGCTGTAATTTGAATATGAACAACAACTTCTCATGGTATTCAGTCATATTTATAACTCTAACATGCCTGATGTAAAGAGCTTTGCACCATAGTTGTTGTGGGTTCCATGCAACATACATTCATAACACGTGTAAAGCATGTTGTTTAATATTCACACAAAATGCAAAATTGTGCTGCTGTCATCGCCCTTAAAAGATAATATTAAAGATAATTTGATTGTCTTTTGTCCATTGGGTCTTGTAGATTTACTTAGCAATTAATGTCTCATCACATCAGACATTTGGTATAGTTTCTAAATACAGATAATTTTAGGTTTAAGCGTGGACCTGATTATTGCTTTATATTTGATTTGTAGACATTACGGAGTGACTTACAGCAGCATGCATCTGATCTGCGTGATATTCAAACAGACCATGTGGATGGAATGGAATCCTATGTGGTAAGTTAAGGATCAATTCTAACATCTTGTTTACGTTCAGCATGAAATGTTTACAGTACATGTAGTTGGATATTATGCTATACTGACAAGAGATGTTGCTGTCTCATGATCAAGTTTTTTTTAATGAATTTGACCATTGCATTATTTTTATTGCTTATTATCATTATAAATTTGTTCTTTTCTGTCAAATTTGTAAAACGCTTATTTGTTTTCTGGCTTCTTCATATAATTTTTTCTTTTGTTCTTTGTAAAAAAAGGCATGTTGTGATAAAATGCTCTTCTTTTTTTACTTCATTCTTAGAGCAAAGATTCCAGATTCGTTTTTGTTGTTGGTAATTTCGGTTTAGTATGCCACCCCGTTTCGATTTTGAGGTCATGGTTACTTAAACAGAACTAAAAGATTGACTCTTGTAGATTAATATTTGTTAGCAAATAATTTGTTAAATAATTTTCCATTTCAAACATTTTCTTGAATACTCTGTATTGATTTCCCCTGCCCTGTTATTTGTTGTGATACCTGCATTTATTTCTTTGTTGCAATGAAGAATGAATAATTTTTCTACTTTAATTTTGTTAATTGTGTTAATCTTATCTAGTTGGGAAGTTATTATGCAATACAATTTACTATTTAGTTGTCTATTCAATAATGCTAATCACTGATTGGCAATTCACTGTCTGCATTAGCATGCTAATCACTGATTGGCTATTCACTGACTGTATTAGCATGCTAATCACTGATTGGCTATTCACTGACTGCATTAGCACGCTAATCACTGATTGACTATTCCCTGAGTGCATTAGCATGTTAATCACTGATTGGCTATTCACTAACTGCATTATCATGCTAATCACGGATTGGGTATTCACTGACTGCATTGGCATGCTAATCACTGATTGGCTATTCACTAACTGCATTAGCATGCTAATCACTGATTGGCTATTCACTGACTGTATTAGCATGCTAATCACTGATTGGCTATTCATTGGCTGCATTAGCATGCTAATCACTGATTGGCTATTCACTGGCTGCATTAGCATGCTAACCACTGATTGGCTATTCACTGACTGCATTAGCATGCTAATCACTGATTGGCTATTCACTGACTGTATTAGCATGCTAATCACTGATTGGCTATTCACTGACTGCATTATCATGCTAATCACTTATTAGCTATTCACTGACTGCATTATTTCCATGTTGTATATATTTAAAGTGCCTGTGAAATGGCTGCTATTTTCACGCCTAAAATTATCCATTGATACATAAATATTATTATTTTTTATGTTTCTAAGCATGAATTATTTTTTTAAGTGAAAAAATGTGTTTTAAACTCAATCTACGGCAACTTTATTTTTGTGTATTTTAAAACGAGGCTCCTCATTAGCTTCTTATTTGCATACAGAAATTCCCCTTGTGACGTCAGAAGGGGAAGTCGCATGGCAGCTTGCATTGCCAGTACGTGTAAATAAGGCAAATTTCTTCTGCAGTTTTCTCATCTTTGACTAAATTTTCACTTAGGTACTTGTTCGTCGAGGAGGAATGGACCATAATGAACACATATATTTTTTGTTGCATGGGGTTGAGTTAGATGCGAAATATGTTCGTTCTGGTGTAGCTGGTCACGGTAATCGTCAGCGGCACACGTTTGTACACTGTCGCTGAACAAAATAGAATTTGACGTCGGAATTATCTCGTTATTTAGCAGGTTACTAGGCACGTCACTACACTGTTTTATTTCATCAATCGTCTGAGTAAAACTTTCAAAATTAAAATAAAAGAGAACATATTTTGACATTCTAAACATTAGACTATAGTGATCACTATAAAATAATTTAAAAAACGACAAATCACAGTTACTAAATAAATGACAGCCGCGTGGAAATAAATTGAAATTTTGGTGAACGCGTCGGGTCACGACGAGGGCAAGTGCGTTAAAAGCGGATAACAAAAATAACCGAGATTGACACACATACAGATAAATTCAGAGTAGATTCGAGTTAGCGTGATCCATGGCGTGATTGTCATAATTATAACATCATATTAAAACTTTATTTGGTGGAAACACATTGACCAAGCCCGGATTCTTATTTCAGAAATTATTACGCAGATCAAGCTGCAAGCATGGAGGTAAAAAAAGAACAGAGGTGTGAATTCGACATTCAACACCAACCACCAAACAATTCAGAAACTTTTAGCCTTCGAAAATGAAAACAATTAGCAGTGTGTAAGGGCTGTGTAATTTCCTGTTTTTCCGACGCTTCGTTTTCGTGTCACTGTCAAAGTTATGCTACCTTTTGCTACCTTTTACTTAACAGGTACTAAATGGTTTCTATAAAACGATAATCAGGATCGCAAAAAAAGTCAACTCATTTGAAACACTTGCCGGACGTCTATCTCTTCTGAAATCCGCCTCGGTGATCATGGTCCGGAATCTATTTCTTTCAAAAGTGTTGCGCCAGGTTTATGTTGTCGGCGTTTCTCTTTAAACCTAGTTGTTTTTTTGTCATGGACGAGGTCAGTTTTTCCAAAAAAGGAATCTGAGGCTAAGTGGCTTTTGTCCATTGATGTCGCACCTTCGGATCGATTAGAAACGTGTGAATACTTACACTATGACTATACGTTTCACTGCAACTGCCCACAACACAACATCTAAAAACTCTCTCTCTCTCAAAAAAAAAAGAAAATAGACAAAAAAAAAAGAAAAAAAAAACGCCGACTGAAAAATGTATATCGTTTAAAAGTATATTGATTGACCAGTGTTATTACGGCTCAGGGGTATGACTTCCTCTCACATTTTGGCATTTGGTGGCGCACTTTCGGCGAGAGTCGGAAATCCGGAAACAGTCGACCGTTTCAGGATAGGTGGGCGTGGCTACAACACGAGAAATATCCCAAATTTACTTGGATACGAGTAATCATTTTAAGCAAAAAAATCAATAGCTGCCCA